GGACCACAGGCGCACTCCACTACACCCGGCTAAAATTCTGTAGTACTTTATTTTATTTATTTAGTTTTGAGACAGATCTTGCTTGCTCTGTTGCCTAGGCTGGAGCGCAGTGGCACGATCTTGACTCACTGCAAGCTCTGCCTCCCAGGTTCAAGCGATTCTCCTGCCCCAGCCTCTGGAGTAGCTGGGATTACAGGCACGTGCCACCACACCCAGGTAATTTTTTTGTATTTTTAGTAGAGACGGGGTTTCGCTGTGTTGGCCAGGCTGGTCTTGAACTCCTGGTCTCAAGTGATCCAGCTCCCTCTGCCTCCTAAAGTGCTGGAATTATAGGTGTGAGCCACTGTGCCTGGCTGTTTTCCGTATTTTTTGCAGAGTGGGGTGGGTCTCGTTCTGTTGCCAAGGCTGGTCTTGAACTCCTGGCCTCAAGTGATCCTCCTACCTCAGGTTTCCAAAGTGCTGGATTATAGATGTGAGCCACTGAGCTTGTCCAAATAAGGAATCTTTTCACAGCGCATCTAGTTTGTTTCAGAACCCAAAAGTATCATTCATGCTCATCATTGGCTGACATTACAGTAGTTATGAGGGCTGCTCTTAAAGCTTGCTATTTAAAGTGTTAATAAAGAAGTATGTATATTACTATATCACCAGTTTAAAAAAATATTTTGATTACTTTTTAATTGTATTTAATATTTTGACTGAATTTCAGGGTAATTGGTTTTCCTTGCGAGTCTATGTATTTAATTCTGTGCATTTTAAACATTGTGCTGAGCAGGGCATAATAGTCTTCCCCAGACTGTCAGGGACCTGAGGCACAAAAGAGATTAGAAACCCCTGGCCTGGGGTCTTTTAGGGGAGGGTGGGCACTGCAGAAAACTTTCTACCTAGCCAAATGCATGTTTTGACCAAATGCATGTTTTTTTTCTTATTAAAGGATTTTGAGGCTGGGCACGGTGGCTCATGCCTATAAACCCAGCACTTTGGGAGACTGAGGCGGGTGGATCACCTGAGGTCAGGAGTTCAAGACCAGTCTGGCCAACACGGCGAAACCCAGTCTCTACTAAAAATACAAAAGTCAGCTGGGCGTGGTAGTGGGCACCTCTTGTCCCAGCTACTCGGGAGGCTGAGGCAGGAGAATTGCTTGAAACCGGGAGGCAGAGGTTGCAGTGAGCCAAGATCGCACCACTGCACTCCAGCCCGAGTGACAGAGCAAGACTGTCTCAAAAAAAAAAAAAAAAAAAAAAAAAAAGAAAGAAAAAGAAAAGGCTTTTGGACCGAGGCAGGAGAATCGCTTGAGGATAGGAGTTCGAGGCCAGCCTGGGAAACACAGCAAGACCTCTCATTTCTACAATAAACTTAAAAATTAGCAGGGTGCGGTGACACCTACTTGTAGTCCCAACTACTTGGGAGGCTGAGGTGGGAGGATCATTTGAGCCCAGGAGATTGAGGCTGTAGTGAGCTGTGATTACCCCACTGCATTCCAGCCTGGGCAACAGATCAAGATGCTCTTTAAAATAAATAATAAATGAATACAGGATTTGGGGACAGTGATTGAGATTCATTACTCAACATTCACATTAGTGCATTACTTTGCTATTTTTTTTTTTTTTTCCTTTTTGAGACAGTCTCACTCTGTTGCCCAGGTTGGAGCTCAGTGGTGTAATCTTGGCTCACTGCAACCTCCACCTCCCGAGTTCAAGCGATTCTCCTGCCTCAGTCTCCCAAGTAACTGGAATTACAGGTGCCCGCCACCATGCTGGGTTAATTTTCATATTTTTAGTAGAGATGGGGTTTCACCGTATTGGCCAGGCTGGTCTCGAACTCCTGACCTCAAGTGATCTGCCTGCCTCGGCCTCCCAAAGTGTTGGGATTACAGGCATGAGTCACTGTGCCTGGCTGCTTTGCTGTCTCTTAATACTAGGGATGTAAGAGCCCCTCAACATCGCAGGAAGTTTCTTTCTTTCTTTTTTTTTTTTTTTTTTGAGATGGACTCTGGCTCTGTCACCCAGGCTGGAGTGCAGTGGAGGCTGGAGTGCAGTGGTGCGATCTCGGCTCACTGCAAGCTCCGTCTCCCGGGTTCTCGCCATTCTCCTGCCTCAGCCTCCCGAGTAGCTGGGACGACAGACACCCGCCACCAAGCCCGGCTAATCCACCTGCCTTGGCCTCCCAAAGTGTTGGGATTACAGGCATGAGCCACTGCACCCGGCTATGATCTTTCTTCCGTCACTGTCCTCCTCCTCTGCTGCCCCACCCTGGCCCGTTGCCCTCACCCAGACCCACCACAGCCTCCCTGGGCCCTGCCTCATTTTGCCACCTCCAATCCTTCCTTGCCCCAACCCTCTGGCTACAGGGTGATCTCAGCTCCCATTTTAATTGGCATTGGCTTCCAGCACCTTCCAAACTCCCTGGCCTGACATTCGAGGCTCTCTCTACTTTGCAGGCTTCATATCCCACCTCGCTGCTCCTGTAACTGCAATCCCCCATGCCCCCGACACCCAGCGTCACAGTCAGCCAGGGCACTCGTGGTCCCAAAACTTGACTCAGCTATCCCATAGTCCTGGCCTGGCACAGAGCAGGCAACTGAAATGCTTGTTGAGGAACAAATGAAACCTCCTTGAAAATGTCACTGCCGTCTGTGCAACTGCTGTGATTTCGCCAGAGCCCCCACTGAGTGTGGGCTGTCTGGAAGCATCCTCTTGAGTGACAGACCTGAGGATCTCACCCTGGTGGCCAGACTGAAGAGAGAGCTCCCTTTTCACTGACCTCCTGGGCCTTCCTGCCGCATCCCTTGGGAGAGCCCGGGGGGGTCACTGTATCATCTTCTCCTGCTGTCTCCCCCGAATTCACTTTAGCCTGGGAACTCCCCAGGAATAGCGCCTGCCCCCCTTAGGATGGGCACAGACCCTTTCCCACAGTCTTATTCTCTATGTGTGTGTGTATGTGCATGAGCCCCCCATTGAGCGAGGGCGACAGCCATCAGTGCTTTTGCCTGCTTCTGTGCTGATTCTGTTTTGAACATTCAGCATGGAGAGTGGCCTCTGCTGTGGCCGACTACATCAGGAGGAAAGGACAGGAGGGCCTGAAGGCTGGCACTCTCTGTGTCTAAGTCCTTTTTTATGAAATGGAGTCTCACTCTGTTACCCAGGCTGGCGTGCAGTGGTGCAATCTTGGCTCACTGCAACCTCCACCTCCTGGGTTCAAGCAATCCTCCCACCTCAGCCTCCAAGTAGCTGGGATTACAGGCGTGCACCACCAGGCCTGGCCAGTTTATTTATTTATTTATTTATTTTTGTATTTTTGGTAGAGGAGGGGTTTCACCATGTTGGCCAGGCTGGTCTCAAACTCCTGACCTCAGGTGATTTGCCCGCCTTGGCCCCCCAAAGTGCTGGGATTACAGGCGTGAACCACTGCCCCCGCCCGGTGGGTCCAAGTCTTAAGTCTGCCCCTGTTCCTCTGCCCAACCCAAGCCTCAGTCCAGAGCCTGCTCTGTTCTTGTTGGAGTGGAATGGGGGCTTGCACTTGCCTGGCATAGACCCCAAACCACCAGGGCACAGGGGCAGAAGGGCTCCAGCCACAACTGAATGGAGGACCTGGAAGCAGAGGTAGCAGGGTGCTCTCCTGATCGCTGAATTTGTATTCTTCCCTCACCATGGTGGCAGCAGGGGGCCCTGCTCTGTCACTTCCTGGTGATTTTGTGCATGGGGACCGGGTGACTGATAGCCCTGGGAGCTGCCCAAGGGTGTTCATGCCCCTTTTATGGGGAGGAGGCTGTGAGTCTTAGTCACAGTCCTGAGAGATTTAGATGTCTGGGATCTGAAATTCGCATCACTGGCCAGGCGCAGTGGCTCATGCCTATAATCCCAGCCCTTTGGGAGGCTGAGGTGGGTGGATCACCTCCCACCCAGGATTGCTCAGGAGTTTGAGACCCGCCTGACCAACTTGGTGAAACCCTGTCTCTACCAAAAATAATTAGCTGGACGTGGTGGTCCACGCCTGTAGTCCCAGATACTTGGGAGGCTGAGGTGGGAGGATAGTTTGAGCCCAGGAAGTTGAGGCTGCAAGTGAGCCAAGATCGTGCCACTGCACCTGTCTCAAAAAAGAAAAAGAAAGAAAAGAAAGAAGAGAGAGAAAGAGGAGAGGAAGGAAGGAAGGGAGGGAGGGAGGAAGGAAGGAAGGAGAAAGAAAGATGGATGCATCACTGGCCCAAGCCCTGCAAGGCCAGTCCTGGGCAAGGGGACCGTGGGTCTGTGACCCCACGTCTGGGGCGTTGGGGGGAAGGCAGAGGTTTGGCTTAGTAGGAACAAGATCTTTCTTGAACATGGGGTCTGGGACTGCCAGCAGGCAGTGTCTCCTGAGCCTGAGGTCATGGGAGCCACAGCTGGAATTCCACCTGTGGGTAGGTGTGGGGTGGGAATGGGACGGGGTGGGGAAGGGTGTGAATAGGGTGGAGTGCGGTGGGTGGGAGGGCTCTTTAAGCTTCTTCTAAGTTTCAGTCTATGACCCAGCTGGGAAATCCAGCCTCTTCCATTGCCCAACCCCCAAGGGCTAATACGGAGACATCCTGCCCTGCCACCCTGTCCACACCGCCAGACTTCATAGATCTGCCCCAAAACGCCTTTACCCTCCTCGACGGAGCCCGGACTCCTCCTGGCATCCAAGGTCTCCGTATGACTTGGGCGTGCTCCCCATCCCTGTGTCCTGAATGTCCCCTCCTCTCTTTCCAGCACCCCTCGTTGTTGCCACCCCCATCTCTCTGCCTCACAGCTCCACTAAAGCCCCCTCCCGATCCTAAGCCCTAACCCTTGCTGTTGGGCCCTCTTTCAGGTGCTGCCCGATGGCCCACGGGGAGTCCCTCAGCTGTCCCACCAGAGACACAGCTGTAAGGGGGCCTGGCAGGTGTCAGGCCACACTGGGCTGGACGGGGGTCTCTGAGAGTGGCTGCCCCGCAGTCCCCGCCTTCCCCGTGGGAGAAAGGAGGACAGGAGAGCAGGGTGCAGTCCCTAAAACAGGCTTTTAATAACATCGTGTCTTCACTGAAGAGCTTGGCGTGTCCCACCCGGGCGGCGCCGCGGGCTAGTAGAAGGAGTACTGGTTCTCCACGGCGCGCGCGCGGCCGGGCGCGGCCTCCTGGGGCTCCTCGGCAGCGGCGGCGGCGGCCACGGCCTCCAGCAGGCGCTCGGCGCTGTTGCTGCGGCTCCGCACGCTGAGCGGGCCCTCGACGGGGCGCGTGGGGGCTGGCCCCGACGCAGCCGAAGATGACGAGGCGGACGACGAAGAGGCGCCGGCGGCGTCGGAGGGCGAGGCGGGCGGGCAGGCAGCCGCGGCGAGGCTGGAGAAGTAGTGCTGGCCGGGCGGGTCGCTCCAGCAGGCCGGGGGCGCTGGCGTGGCAGGGGGCGCGGGGCCCGGCTCTGCAACGAGGCGGCAGCAGGGAGTGAGTGGGGACCTCGGCTAGCCACATCCTGGAGGGAGGCCGGGATCCCTCAGGGGGCCAGGGCCAAACTCAGGTTTCCGAGTTGCAGCCCATGTCCTCGGACACATAGGCACGCACACCCGCACATATGCATAAACAGAAGCACACACACATACACGTACCTAACCACGCATGTGCACACCCATACAGCCACACGCACAGGAGTGCACACACACGCACACATGAGGCACACGCTTGCACAGAGGCACACAAGCACATGCGCACCCATGCACGTGTGCACACACGTGCACGTATATGCGCGCACACATACACATGCACGCAATACACATGCTCATGCATATTCGCGCACACATGCACACGTAAACGTACACACACGAGCACATGCGTGCACATGCACACATACACTTATGCACACACACAACCACACACATGCACATGCACCATGCCCTTAGTGCTGGGTCACAGCAGCTTTGCTCTGAGCCTCCCCTGTGCAGGGGTTGGGAATCCACACTCCCAGCTCCTTTCATCCCATTTGCCCCAATCCACACCCCCGCCCCCACCCCCATACGCCCACCTGCACTGCTCTTGGGCACCCCGTTCCCCTTGCCAGGAATCATTAGGGACCTGGCTGCCTCAGGGCTGCCACTTCTGCCTCCACTCCTGCTGACCTGACTGCTTGCAATTGCTGTGGCTAGGCTAGGGTGGGAGGGACACAGCTGAGGCTGTGGGACAGGAGACCTGGGGCTCATCCTGCCCCAGGGGCCACCTTCTTGAGTAATCAAAGGGGTCTTCTTGAGTAATCACACGGGCCAGGTGGTAGCATCTTACCTGGCGGGGGGCCCTGGGCCCGCACATAGCTGCGAAGGGTGATATCGGCGGAACCCCCTGACTCCAGTGGGATGGGGTGCGTGTGGAAGTGGCGGAGCATGTCAAGCACAGACTGGAACCACAGGTGCTGTACGTGACACTGGCCGTGGCCGTTCAGGGACAGGCGCAGGTGCTGTGGGTACAGGTGGGTGTGGTCAGGGGTGGGTCCGGGGCTGGGCACCTGGGTAAGCGCCTTTGGGGGTTGATGGAAGGACCAAGGCTCACAGGGGCTGGATGGGGCTGTGTCAGAACCAGGGGGCCCCTCACACATGAGCCCCACCTGGGGGTGGGGAATGGGGGCAACAGACCCAGGCTGGGATGGAAGGCATCAGGCATTGTCCCCATGCTGGGACACCCCTACTATGGGCCCATGTCCTACACACCTCTAATCTCTAATCCTCTCCCTAACGCCAGAAGACAGGGATTACTGCCCCCATGTTAGAGATGGGAAAACCAAGACCCAGGGAAGGGGAGTGACTGGCCCACGGTCACAGAGCACAGAGCAGGGAAGAAAACTCCTGTTTGGGTGGTTCCCCCAGCCCAGGAGGCTAGAGGTTGGGCAGAGCCAAAACCCAGAGGCGTGAAAAGCTCCCCAGGGCTGGCTAGGGAGGAGTGACGGCAGGCTGCGGGAACAGCTGGAACAGGGCTGGCTACTCTCCGGGTCTCCAGAGCCTGCATGAGGCAGGTGCCTCAGGGTAAGAAACCATAGGCCTGTGGTGTCTAGCAGTGAGCCGCAGGTCTCTGACTTAAGCCCTATTTTGCTGAACGTGTATCCCACTGCAGAAAAAAGTGGCTATCTCTGGGGTGTGTGTGGCAACAGGGGAGCTAAGAGGAGTGGTTTGAGGGTACACACATAGGCCCAAGCCCAGGAAGGGGAGCTGGTCTGGCCGCCTACATAAAAGACAGACAATCCGCCGGGTGCAGTGGCTCACGCCTGTTATCCCAGCACTTTGGGAGGCTGAGGGGAGTGGATCACTGGAGGTCAGGAGTTCAAGACCAGCCTGGCCAACATGGTGAGATCCCCCCATCCCTTTAAAAAACAAACAAACAAAATACAGACAATCCCTGGAACAGGTTGGTGGTCCCACAAGTGAGCTCTGCCACTTAGCAGAATAAGTTGCCAGGACAATGCAGGGACTCAGCCCGAGAGAAATAGCACAGAGGGGTCCCACCACAGCCTCATAGCCGGGCAGAGCCTGCGCAGGGCACAGCCGGGCCCCAGGGGTGAGGAGAGGCAAGCTGGACACATCCCAGTCTTCTGCCAGACCTTCCAGACATTTATTCCGTGAAGGTGGAAAGAGTTGCCTCTGGGAAGGTAGTGATCTTCCCTCCCAGGAGGTATGTAAGTGGGAGGCCGGGGTTCCTGCTTTGTCCCACCATTCAATGATCAAGCCTGGAGCAGTCATCTCCACTCTGGGAGAAGAGCAGCTGGGTAGAGAGGTGAGAGGCAGGTTCAAGGCTGCGTCCTGTTCCAGGAAGGAGAGGAGCTTCCTGCCCACCCTGTGTTCCCCCATCCTAGCCTCTGGCTTGGGCATGAGTCAGATCCAGGCCCTCTGGAAGGCTGCCTGGAGCAGCACTGGCTGAGAAGTAAACGCACGTCACCAGGGATGGCCTTAAGCACCTGGTTGTCGGAGGAACTGGAAGAGTGGCTGCTTGCCAAGGAAATGTCCCTGGTGGAGGTGCTACCTCCTGCACGGTGGGGCCAACCCGGCGGAGGAGAGAAGCCACTAGAGGGTCTGCACTGGGTCACTAGGGGTTAGGGCAGCCGGGGTCCCTGCAGAGAGACGCTGTCCCCTAGCTGCAGGCCTAGAGCAGGAGTCCTAAGGTTCTCCCTCCTCTAGTAGGGGCCTCCAGGAAATCCGTCCTGGCAGAAGCCTGGGCTGAGTGTCTCCTTATCAGAAACCTGGGATGCGGGGGTGGGCACTGAGGGTCCTGCCCCCTCTGGCCACATGGCACCCTCCCATAATCATTCGGCTTTGCTGTCAAATTTTCCTTTGAATTTCAGGTCAACAGGCCAGGCGCAGTGGCTCACGCCTGTCATCCCAGCACTTTGGGAGGCCGAGGCGGGTGGATCACCTGAGGTCAGGAGTTTGAGACCAGCCTGGCCAACATGGCGAAACCCCGTCTCTACTAAAAATACAAAAATTAGCCAGGCGTGGTGGTACGTGTCTGTAATCCCAGCTACTTGGGAGGCTGAGGCACAAGAATCGCTTGAACCCGGGAAGCAGAGGTTGCAATGAACTGAGATTGTACTTTTGCAGTCCAGCCTGGAGGATAGAGCGAGACTGTCTCGAACAAAAAACAAAAAACAAAGCCTTTTAGGTCAAGATAGCACACAATCCTCTTCCTTGAAAGCACACCGCCTGGGTGTACGTACCATCATGCCTCTGATCCAGCTGGGCGCCTTCCCGCCTGTCTTCCCCTCTACAATTCTCCCGCCCCTGCAGGTAGGTCTCTGATCAGGCTGTCCCCTCCGATGCTGAACCCCACCCCCCAGACCCTGCACAGCTCTCCCACCCAGCCCAGCACCTCCTCCCCTGGTGGGTCTCTAGGGCTTGCCCGTGTGTGCCTCTCGGGTTGGTGACCTGACCTGGGCAGGGAAGAGGGGCTGTCTGGGGGGGTGGGGCAGAAGGTGGGGCTCTGAGGGCCTTGGCTGGCTCCAGCCCCGCACTGTGGGATCTCTGGGTGGAGACCCTCAGAAGATCCAGTGCTAGGAGATCCCCTTCTGGAGAACGGAGAGGCTGAAATAGGGCTGACTGCAGTCCCTCAGTGATGTGTAGGAGGGACGCAGGTGGTTCACGGAGCATGGCTGGGGTGAGCGGGGCCCATGGGAAGTCATGCCACACCGGTTTGCCTGCAGCTGCTTCCGAGGCACAGCCTCAGGACCGGGGTCACCATGACCCCTCTCCCTCAGGGCTGGCCACTGCACCCCCACGGCCCCCCCCCCGCCACACTTGCCTTGGCCTTGCCCTGGAAGTTGAAAGTCAGCACGTACTCCCCAGGCCGAGTCTCACTTTGGCGGATCACGAAGAGGCCGTGGTTCCGGGGCCCTCCTGCCAGAACCAGTTGAGCAGCCTTGACCCGAGACAGTGTCCCGTGGAACCAGGGGTAGTCGGACAGCTCCAGCTCCGGCTCAGCCTCGGGATCCGTCTCTGTACTCTCTTCCCCTGAGGTGGGGATGACAGTGTGGGGAACATGGAGGGAAGGAGAGAGGGGGACAAAGAAATAAATGTGAGAAAAGAGGTGACATCTTTTTTTTTTTTTTACATGCAAAATGCTGTTGGAATAATTTTTAAAACTTTTGTTGGTTTTTAGTTTTTATTTTTAATTTTTTGAGACAAAGTTTTGCTCTTGTCGCCTAGGCTGGAGTGTAATGGCACAATCCCAGTGGCTCACTGTAACCTCTGCCTCCGGGGTTCAAGCAATTCTCCTGCCTCAGCCTCCCAGGTAGCTGGGATTACAGGCGCCTGCCACTACGCCCAACTAATTTTTGTATTTTTAGTAGAGATGGGGTTTCACCATGTTGGTCAGGCTGATCTCGAACTCCTGACCTCAGATGATCACCCACCTCAGTCTCCCAAAGTGCTGCGATTATAGGCGTAAGCCACTGTGCCCGGTCTTATTTTTTATTTTTTAGAGATGGGGTCTTGCTATGTTCCCCAGGCTGGTCTCAAACTCCTAGGCTCAAGTGATCCTCCTGCCTTGGCCTCCCAAAGTGCTGGGATTACAGGTGTGAGCCACTGCACCTGGCCTGAATATTTTTTTGTTTGAGACAGAGTCTTGCTCTGTTGCCCAGGCTGGAATGCAGTGGTGTGATCTCAACTCGCTGCAACCTCAGTCTTGCAGGTTCAAGTGATTCTCCTGCCTCGGCCTCCTGAGTATCTGGGGTTACAGTCATGCACCACTATGGCCAGGCTAATTTTTGTATTTTTAGTAGAGACAGGGTTTCACCATGTTGCCCAGGCTGGTCTTGAACTGCTGAGCTCAGGCAATCTGCCCATCTTGGCCTCCCAAAGTGCTGGGATTACAGGCGTGGGCCACTGTGCCCAGCTGAATAATTTTATTTATATATTTATTTAACTTATTTTTTGAGATAGGGTCTTGCTCCGTCACCCAGGCGGAAGTCCAGTGGCACAACCATAGCTCACTGCAGCCTTGGCCTCCTGGGCTCAAGCAATCCTCCCACCTCAGCCTCCTGTGTAGCTAGGACTACGAGCTTGTGTCACGGTGCCTGGCTAATTTTTATTTTTTGTAGAGACAGAGTCTTGCTTTGTTGCCCAGACTAGTCTGGAAGTCCTGGGCTCAAACGATCCTCCTGCCTTGGCTTCTTGAAGTGCTGAGATTACAGGTGTGAGCCACTGTGCCCAGTCGGAATAATTTTAGAGTTGGGCAGGGAGCTGACCCAACCCAATGGTGACGTCTATGAGGTAAACTGAGGCACAGAGCTGTGAAGGACTATCCTGGAGTTGCTCTGTAAGTCATCAACAAACTTAGGAACAAATCCAGTCGCCTGTTCCCCACCCCTGATTCCAACGCTCTGGACCCTTTTCTGTGAGCTCCTTCTTTCCCTCCCTCCCTCTGTCCTTTCTTCTTTTCTTTTATCTTTCTTTTCTTTTCTCTTTTTTTTTTTTATAGGGTCTCTCTCTGTTGCCCAGGCTGGAGTGCAATGGTGTGATCACAGCTCACTGTAGCCTCGACCTCCTGGGTTCAAGTGATCCTTGCACCTTGGCCTCCCAAGTAGCTGGGACTACAGGCACACCAACCTACAGGCAGGTTGGTGTGTACCAACCTGCCCAGATAATTAAAAAAAAATGTTTGTGGCCGGGCATGGTGGCTCACACCTGTAATTCCAGCACTTTGGGAGGCCAAGGCAGGAGGATCACTTGAGGTCAGGAGTTCAAGACCAGTCTGGCCAACATGGCAAAACCGCCATCTCTACTAAAAATACAAAAATGAGCCAGGCGTGGTGGCGGGTGCCTGTATTCTCAGCTACTCGGGAGGCTGAGACAGGAGAATCGCTTGAACTCAGGGGTGGAGGTTGCAGTGAGTTATGATCCGCTACTGCATTCCAGCGTGGGCAATAAAGTGAGACTCTGTCTCAAAAATTTTGTGCAGATAGGGTCTTGCTATGTTGTCTATGCTAGTCTCAAACTCCGGGCTTCAAGTGATCTCCAGCATCCCAAAGCCCTGGCTGGGATTACAGGTATGAGGCACTGCACCCAGGCCCTGTGAGTATTTTCTTTTCTTTCTTTTTCTTTTTCTTTTTTTTTTTTTGAGATAGAATCTCACTCTGTTGCCAGGCTGGAGTGCAGTGGCGTCATCTTGGCTCACTGCAACCTCCGCCTCCCAGGTTCAAGTGATTCTCCTGCCTCAGCCTCCCGAGTAGCTGGGACTACATGTGTGCACCAACACACCCAGCTAATTTTTGTATTTTTCGTAGCGATGGGGTTTTGCCATGTTAGCCAGGCTGGTCTCGAACTCCTGACCTCAGGTGATCCGCCCGCCTTGGCCTCCCAAAGTGTTGGGATTTCAGGTGTGAGCCACTGTGCCCGGCCCCTGTGAACATTTTCTATTGAAACTGGGTCCAGTGGGAGGGGCCAGGTTCCTAGACCAGTCTACAAAAGCCAGAAGTACTTCGGAGATGTGTGAAGGACCCAGGGGGATGAGATGTCACAGCTTCTGGGGCTTAGCAATGTTTAGGGAGCCCACGGGTGGCCATGGCTGGGGGTGGGGGTCCAGGAGAGGTGGTGTGGGAAGAGCAGGCTGTCCCCACTGGCACCTGTGTTATTGCTGTCACTGCCACTGCCGCCTGGGGATTCCAGGGTCTGCAGAAAGGTCTCTAGTGGGACGTGGATCAGGGACTCTCTGACGGCATCTCGACCTCGGCTGTGGGGGGCTGTCACCACTGCACCCGTGGCTGTCGTCTCTGGGGGCCGGGGTAGGTCAACTGCTGGGGAAATGGCAGGTGAGACACACGTATCTTTATCTGTCCACCCTGCGTGTGGCCCTCCTCCAACCCTGTCCCCCTACCTACCATCAGTCAGGAGCTCACAGCTGCAGGAGGCCACGCGGCTGGCCAGACAGCCTCCTCGGGTACAGGAGAGCTCGGTGTCTTCCTCACTGTCACTGTGGAGACAAGAAATGGAAGCCATGTCCTGCCATGGGACTTGGACCCAAACCACAGGCTGCTCACGTGGCCAGGCAGTGGCTGGCAGTCCCATGGCTCAGCATGTAGCCCTCCGGGCTCTGGTCACCTCTCTCTGCCTCCATGTCCCTCTGTCCCGCCCTCCGCTGGCTCTGTAGCCACCATGTGATTGACCAGGCCACTGTTGGGGATCAGAAAACAATACCCCAAAATAAAGTCCTCAGCAGCAGCCTCAGAAACAAAAATGTTTTTCTCTGACCTTCTCCTGCCTACCTGTCTCTCAATCCTCTTCTTCCCAGAGGCACCAGAGAAACGGAAGTCCCTCTTTCCCAAGGTGGGTCACAGAAACCAGAACCCCTTTTTCCAAAACGTAGTCATAACACCTAAAAATATTCTTTTTTTTTGAGATGAGTCTCACTCTGTTGCCAGGGCTGGAATACAGTGGTATGATCTTGGCTCACTGCAGCCTCTGCCTCCTGGGTTCAATCGATTCTCCTGCCTCAGCCTCCTGAGTAGCTGGGATTACAGGCGCCCGCCACCATGCCTGGCTAATTTTTTTTGTATTTTTAGTAGAGATGAGGTTTCACTACGTTGGCCAGGCTGGTCTTGAACTCCTGACCTCGTGATTCGCCTGCCTTGTCCTCCCCAAATGCTGGAAATACAGGTGTGAGCTACTGCGCCTGGCCAACTTAAAAATATTCTATGTAAAAACTTGTCATAGAGAAATTATCCAGCCAGGCATGGTGGCTCATGTTTGTAATCCTAGCACTCTGGGAGGCTGAGGTGGGAGGATCACTTGAGGCCAGGAGTTTGAGATCAGCTTGGGCAATATAGCGGGACCCCCATCTTTTTTTTTTTTTTTTTTGAGATGGAGTCTTGCTCTATTGCCCAGGCTAGAGTGCAGGGGCACGATCTCAGCTCACCGCAACCTCCGCCTCCCGGGTTCAAGCGATTCTCCTGCCTCAGCCTCCTCAGTAGCTGGGACCACAAGCATGCACCACCATGCCTGCCTAATTTTTTTTTTTTTTTGGTATTTTTACCATGTTGGCCACGCTGGTCTTGAACTGGTGATCTGCCTGCCTTGGCCTCCCATGGTGTGGGGATTACAGGTGTGAGCCACTGTACCCGGCCGCGAGAACCTGTCTTTTTTTTTCTTTTTGAGATAGAGTTTTGCTCTTGTTGCCCAGGCTGGAGCGCAATGGCGCAATCCTGGCTCACTGCAACCTCTGCCTCCTGGGGGTTCAAGTGATTCTCCTGCCTCAGCCTCCTTCGAGTAGCTGGGATTACAGGCATGCACCACCACGCCTGGCTAATTTTGTATTTTAGTAGAGACGGGGTTTCTCCATGTTGGCCAGCCTGATCTCGAACTTCCAACCTCAGGTGATCCATCCACCTCAGCCTCCTAAAGTGTTGGGATTATAGGCATGAGCCACCGTGCTTGGTCCTGAGAACCCTGTCTTAATTTTAAAAAAAAATTAGCTGGGCGTGGTGGTGAGGCAGGAGGATCAATGGAGTCCAGGAATTGGAGGCTGCAGTGAGCTGTGATCATGCTACTGCCCTCCAGCTTGGGCAACAGAACAGAAAAAAAAGTAAAAACAAAAGGAAAGAAAGAAAGAAAGGAAAGAAGGAAAGCAAAGCAAGCAAGAAAAAAAGAATGAAAGAAATTACCCAATCCACCTGGTTTGACTGTAGGTCATAAAACCCCCATTCAAGATAGGGTTCTGTCCCACACCCAGAAGGAATGCTGTTCAGAGAGGCCAAGAAAAATCTAGACAGACAGGCCTGGCTGGGTCCCCTGCTCAGTCTGTTCCCTTCAGATCCTGCCCTTTGTGTCCAATCCTCTTTCTACACCGCTGTCTATACTTTGCTGAACCTAAGCATAAAAATGGACCATTTTCCTATATCTTTTTTTTGGAGAGAGAGAGTCTCACTCTGTTGCCCAGGCTGGAGTGCAGTGGCGCAATCTCGGCTCACTGCAACCTCTGCCTCCCGGGTTCAAGCGATTCTTCTGCTACAGCCTCCCAAGTAGGTGGGGTTACAGGTGCCCATCACCACACCCAGCTACTTTTTGTATTTTTAGTAGAGACAGGGTTTCACCATGTTGGCCAAGGTGGTCTCAAACTCCTGACTTCATGATCCGCCTGCCTCGGCCTCCCAAAGTAATGGGATTACAGGCGTGAGCCACCATGCCTGGCTTTTTTTTTTTTTTTTTTTTTTTGAGATGGAATCTTGCTCTGTCACCCAGTAGAGTGCAGTGGTGCGATCTCAGCTCGCTGCAACCTCTGCCTCCCAGGTTCAAGTGATTCTCCTGTCTTAGCCTCCCAAGTAGCTGGGATCACAGCGGGCCTGCCACCACCTCCGGCTAATTTTTGTACTTTTAGTAGAGACGGGGTTTCCTCATGTCAGCCAGGCTGGTCTTGAACTCCTGACCTCAGGTGATCTGCCTGCCTCAGCCTCCCAAAATGCTGAGATTACAGGTGTGAGCCACCACGCCCAGCCCTCCCCTGTGTCTTTGAGTCTTCATTCTGAAAGCTCTTATGTATACATGTTAAATAAATTTACTTGCTTTTTCTCCTATTAATCTGTCTTGTACAGCTAAGCACTGTGGCTCATGCCTGTAATCCCAGTGCTTTGGGAGGCTGAGGCAGGTGGGTCTCTTGAATCCAGGAATTTAAGACCAGCCTGGGCAATGTAGCAAGATCCCATCTCTTTTTTTTTTTTTTTTTTTTGAGATGGAGTCTCGCTCTGTCGCCCAGGCTGGAGTGCAGTGGCGCCATCTTGGCTCACTGCAAGCTCCGCCTCCCAGGTTCACGCCATTCTCTTGCCTCAGCCTCCCCAGTAGCTGGGGCTATAGGCGCCCACCACCACGCCCGGGTAATTTTTTGTATTTTCTGTAGAGACGGGGTTTCACCATGTTAGCCAGGATGGTCTCGATCTCCTGGCCTTGTGATCTGCCCGCCTCGGCCTCCCAAAGCGCTTGGATTACCCATCTCTTAAAAAAAAAAAAAAAATTTAGGCTGGGTGCAGTGGCTCACACCTGTAATCCCAGCACTTTGGGATGATGAGGTTGGCAGATCACCTGAGGTCAAGAGTTTGAGACCAGCCTGACCACCACGGGGAAACCCTGTCTCGACTAAAAATACAAAAATTAGCTGGGCATGGTGGCAGGCACCTATAATGTCAGCTACTCAGGAGGCTGAGGCAGGAGAATTGCTTGAACTTGCGAGGTGGAGGTTGCAGTGAGCTGAGATTGTGCCATTGCACTCCAGCCTGGATGATAGAGCAAGACTCTGTCTCAAAAAAAAAAAAAAAAAAAAAAAAGCCAGTCCTTGTGGCATGTGCCTATAGTCCCAGTTACTTGGGAGGCTGAGGCAGGCGGATCGTTTGAGCCCAGGAGGTCGAGGCTGCAGTGAGCTTGATTGCACCACTGTACACCAGCCTGGGCGACAGAGCAAGGCCTTACCTCTACAAAATAAAATAATAAAATAAAAATAAATAAATAAATTTGTATGCTTTTTCTCTTATTTATCTGCCTTTTGCAAATTGATTTTCCACTGAAACTTCAGAAAGCCAAGGGGAAGGTTCTCTCGTGGCCCGGATACCACCAAATGGGTACAGTCCCCTCTGAGGGCTCATGATCCCTGCCCACTATCCCTGAGGGGCTGGGCTCCTCCTGGGATCCCGTGGAGACCCTCAGAGGGTGGGAAGGTTTCTCTCCCCGTCTGTAACACGAGGTGTCTGGGACCCTGCCAGCTCGAAAATTCCACCCAGTGAGGTTCACCTTCACAGGGGCTACGGAAAGAGTCTGCAGAGCAGATGGTCCGGAGGGCGGCGGCGGAGGGATTCCAACCACTTTGTGGATCAGCGCCTGGGAGGCGCCCGGGACCTTAATTGTGTTTCTTTAAATGAAGCTGTTAATTAGAAAGCAGCGGCCCTTCCCCCGGGCGCTTGGCTCACCCCATTAGCCAGCAGAGCTGCTGCCAATTGCTCAGCGTGTCAGGCTGCCTGTCCCTCCTACTCCTGGCCTGGCATCTCTCCTGGACGGTGGAGCCAACCTTCTTGCTGCTCTTCCTGTTCACAGCTGACCGTAAGTGCCCTCTGCTTATTACCCGCCATGGCTCCCATTGTCCCTGACCTACCCGTTTCCTGAGCTCTCATCAAAACCTCCTCCTCACTGGCTACCCCAAAGGCCTTGATGTTGCCTGCAAGTCCCAGGTGCCTGTACACTTCCACACCTTTTAAAATTATTATTATTTTGAGACAGAGTCTGGCTCTCTCGCTCACGCTGCAGTGCAATGGCACAATCTCAGCTCACTGCAACCTCTGCCTCCCGGGTTCAAGCGATTCTCCTGCCTCAGCCTCTTGAGTAGCTGGGATTACAGATGCCCGCCACCAGGCCTGGCTAATTTTTGTATTTTTAGTAGAGATGGGGTTTCACCATGTTGGCCAAACTGGTCTCGAACTCCTGACCTCAGGTGATCTGTCAGCCTTGGGCCCCCAAAGTGCTGGGATTACAGGTGTGAGCCACTGCGCCTGGCCCTTGCCAAATTTTTATTATTATTTTTTAAGAGTTAGGGTCTTGCTCTGTTGCCCAGGCTGGAGTGCAGTGGTACAGTCCTAGATCACTGTAGCCTCCAAATCTTGGGCTCAAGCGATCCTCCAGCCTCAGCCTCCAGAGTAGCTGGGATAACAGATGCATGCCACCGTGCCCAGTTCCATTTCCACTCTTTTTGCTGGGCTGTTCTCTCTGCCCTCTCCCATCCTCCTCTGCCTAGCGTTGGTCCACTCTTTATTTAAGCCTCGGGTTAGGTGAGCACACCTACCAGCAACCCTTCCCTGAGCCCAGAGCTGGGTCAGGAGCCTCTCTCTCCAGCTCTTTTTATTTTTCTTATTTTAAGAGACAGGGTTGGCTGGGCACAGTGGCTCATGCCTGTAATCCCGGCACTTTGGGAGGCTAAGGTGGGTGGATCACTTGAGGTCTGCAGTTCGAGACCAGCCTGGCCAACACGATGAAATCCCGTCTCTACTAAAAATATAAAAATCAGCTGGGCGTGGTGGTGGGCACCTGTAATCACAGCTACTCGGGAGGCTGAGGCAGGAGAATCGCTTGAACCTGGAAGGCGGAGGTTGCAGTGAGCCAAGATCACACCATTGCACTCCAGCCTGGGCAACAGAGCAAAACCCTGTCTCAAAAAAAAAAAAAAAAAAAAAGAGGGTCTGGCTATGTTGCCCAGGCTGGTTTTGAACTCCTGGGCTCAAGCGGTCCTCCCAGCTCAACCTCCCAAAGTGTTGGGGTCACAGGTGTGAGCCACTGCACCAGGCCCCCAGCCCTTTGGGGACTCACTCCCATCTCTGCCCAACTCCCAGTGCTCTGAGGCTCTCTTGAGGTGAAGACAAGACTTGGCCCAACTTCCTTCCAGGTCCCCAGGCCCTGGCCCCATAGAGCAGGCCTCATAGAGCCTGCTGGGGATTGGAGGTAGCGGGTATTTTAAAAGAGAGTGATCCTGGCTGGCACCAACCTGAATCACATTGAATTGCTCGTTTCTCAAGCTGAGCTCCCGCCCTGCTAGAAAGCTGCTCCTGGTGAAGGCTGGACCAAGGACACACCCAGCCTGTCCACCCATCCTTGGGCCACTTGGACACTCACCCGGGGTCCACGCAGCCCTGGATGTCAGCTACCCACGAGTGCTTCTGCAGAGAGTCGATGGTCTCCAGGATGTACTCAGCTCCATTCTCTACCTGGGGAGGAAGGTGGCCGGGAGTCCAGAACACGGTCAGCAGACAGGCTCTGGACTCCAGGGCACAGGGCCAGAATGGCTCAAATGGCTCATCCCCCGCTTCCACAGCAGGGCTCAAGGGCATAAGCAGCAGGAAAGACAGTGGGGTTCACCGTCGGACACCACCCGGAACTCAGGCCAGGGACCCGGTGGTACAGCCTGCAGCTTACACTCTGCGCTCCCTCCCTCCTGGGCCTCCCCACTGGGGATATGTCCCGCCTCACTGATCTCAGCTCCTCTGCCTTGGAGACGCAGCCTCTGAGGAGGCCATGCTGGTGGGGGGAGGGATGGGTGGCCCAGCATCCCCAACCCATGCCCTGGCACCGCAGGGATGAGGTTCAAGTTGAGCGGAGAGGCACACTGAGTAGGGTGCCTTGCACGTCTTAGTGCCTGGAGTTCTACCAGCATGGCCATGTGCTTGAGAAATGCAGCCTGTGAAGGGGAAGAGGGCAGGGGACATCCCTGCTGGGGCCAGGCCCACAGCATAACCCTGCACTCTGCTCAACTCCTCCCAACGGCCCAGTGAGGGAGGGGAGCCATTTCTCCCATTTTATAGATGAGAAGACCAAGATTCAGAGAGGCCAAGGAACTTGCTCAAAGTCACACAGCAGCCAGTGGCAGGGCCAGGGCCTGAACCCAGGTCTCTGGGACACCCAGGTCCCGTGCTGTCGGCTTCCGGTGGTGTGCCTCTGTCAAAATGTAGTCGCTGGGCTGGGCGTGGAGGCTCACACCTGTAATCTAGCACTGTGAGAGGCTGAGGCGGGCAGATCTCCTGAGCTCAGGAGTTCGAGACCAGCCTGGGCAACATGGCAAAACCCCGTCTCTACCAAAAATACAGAAATTAGCCAAGCATGGTGGCATGTGCCTTTGGTCCCAGCTACTCAGGAGACTGAGATGGAAGGATCGCCTGAGCCTGGGAGGAGGAGTTCGTAGTGAGCCAAGATTGCGCCACTGCACTCCAACCTGGGGGACAGAGCGAGATCCATCTCCAAACAAATAAACAAACAAACAACCAAACAATGTAGTTGTTGGACTCCCAGGATGACAGAGCTGGGTGGGTTCTCGGAGACTGCCTTTAATCCCTCTCTGAATAGATGGGGAACCTGAGGCAGGCGAGCCCCTCTGCCTCAGGGCTGTCATGCACAATCAGCAGCTTAGAGGGTACCAGGTGGGCAGGGACAGTGTCCCCAGCCCCCAGCCTGGCATGACTCAGGGTCCGGGGTCGGTAAACATGAGTTAAACGAAAAAGCGAGCCGTGACTAAACAAATGGGAACGGGTACAAACACAAACACAACCAAAAGCCGGGAGAAGAGGGTGGGGGCTTCATGCAGGGTGAGTGGGTGGGACCAGGCATCCCCGGGGGACACTGCTTCATCAACACCCTCTGATCCTTTGCGGAGTCCCAGGGACCACAGCTCTGGCAGCCTGGAGCCGTGTCCTCAGAAACCCCTGCAGGCCACCCCGGCGTGCGGTGTGGGGCCTGGGAAAAGGATGGGCTGCCTCTAGACCCACCGGGGCGCCTCCCCGCCCACCCTCGATGCCTTTGTGCCCTCTGTGGGAGACCGCCCGGTTCCCACACTCCAGTGCCCTGAGACGGGAACATTTGCATAACTGCTGCCGGCTGGCCACCAGTGGGGTGGGTGTGTGCTGACTCCAGTGGGGGAAGGGAGGGCAGGAAGTGAAACTGATGAGCTTCGCCCAGGCCCAGGGGTAAATGGGAGCAAGGGGCCCAGATGTTGGGCAATGCCTGGGGGACTTGGCTGGGGAGCCGAGACTCAAGTCTTAGCTACGTACTAGGCATCTGTCATAGGGTCTGGGGACGCCCCCACACCAGGGCTTCCTCCCACTGGCTCCCTCCCTACCGTCCTGCCTTGCCTTAGGCTCCTTCCCCTCGCTCCCCTATGAAGCTGTAGCACCCAAAGGGGAGGTAGCCTGGGGCAGCTGGAGGATCTCTGGGATTAGGGGTGAGACCTCACCTTGAGCACGAACGTGTTGTCCTTCTCTGGCATTTCCAGGGGCATGGTGGTGCGGACCTCAATGATGGCTGACAGTGGGATGCTGACCTTGGGCCTGGAGGCCTGGGGGCCAGAAGAAGGACAGTCAGTGGCCCCAGCATTTCCTGACGCCTTCTCCATCCCCTCCCCGCTGCCAGGCATTAGAGTGGCCCTCAAATAGACTGCCACAGCCACCGTGGTACAGAGGTGTCCCAATCCTCATTTCACAGATGGGGAAATTGAGGAAGGCATTTCTTTGAAACAAGAAATAAATTTTTCCTGGCTAGGTGTGGTGGCTCATGCCTGTAATCCTAGCACTTTGGGAGGCCAAGGCAGGAGGATGGTCTGAGTCCAGCAGTTCAAGGACAGCCTGGACAACATAGTGAGACCATATCTTTACTCAAGACCCAAAAACGGGCCGGGCGTGGTGGCTCACACCTATATTCCCAGCACTTTGGGAGGCCAAGGCATGCAGATCACCTGAAGTCAGGAGTTTGAGACCAGCCTGACAAACATGGAGAAACCGCATCTCTACTAAAAAAAAATACAAAATTTGGCCGGGCGTGGTGGCTCACGCCTGTAATCCCAGCACTTTGGGAGGCTGAGGCAGGCAGATCACGAGGTCAGGAGATCGAGGCCATCCTGGCTAACACGGTGAAACCCTGTCTCTACTAAAAATACAAAAAACTAGCCGGGCGAGGTGGCGGGCACCTGTAGTCCCAGCTACTCGGGAGGCTGAGGCAGGAGAATGGGTAACCCGGGAGGTGGAGCTTGCAGTGAGCTGAGATCGGGCCACTGCACTCCAGCCTGGGCGACAGAGCAAGACTCTGTCTCAAAAAAACAAAAAACAAACAAAAAACCCAAAATTAGCCGGGCGTGGTGGTGCATGCCTGTAGTCCCAGCTACCTGGGAGGCTGAGGCAGGAGAATCGCTTGAACCTGGGAGGTGGAGGTTGCAGTGAGCTGAGATTGCGCCATTGCACTCCAGCCTGGGCAACAAGAACGAAACTCTGTCTTACAGAAAATAAATAAATACATAAAAAGAGAGACCAAAAAACTTAGTTGAGTATGGTGGCATGTGCACCTGTAGTTCCAGCTACTTGGGAGGCTGAGGTGGAAGGATCACTTGATCGGGGGAGGTCGAGGCTGCAATGAGCCATGATGGTACCACTATACTCCCGCCTGGGTGACAAGAGTGAGATCCTGCCTCAAAAAAAAAAAAAAAAAAAAAAAAAAAAAAAAGGGCCTCCTCCTATAGTCACCTAGTAAGAGCAAGTCCAGGACAGACCCAGAATTGACATCTGAGCCTCCTACATCCCAGCCCTGAGGAGAGAACCCCACCTGGGCTGCCTGATACACCCATAAGCTCTGTGGTTTTCTTATTTTTGACCTTGACCCATTGTGAGAAATACATTCAACACTGGGGCCCGGTACACACACACGCAGGTAAAAATATCTCTGAAGCAAATATCTCACCAGAAAACAGTTACCCTTCCTGTGTGTGATAGAGTGTGATATTTTCTATTCTAATCTAGTTCACTTTTTAAAAAATGCTGGTCTTGGCTGGGTGTAGTGGCTCACACCTGTAATTTCAGCACTTTGGGAGGTCAAGGAGGATGACTTGAGGTCAGGAATTCGAGGCCAGCCTGGGCAACATGGTAAAACCCCATCTCTACTAGAAATACAAAAATTAGCCAGGCGTGGTGGTGTGCGCCTGTAATCCCAGCTACTTGGGAGGCTGAGGCAAGAGAATCACTTGAACCCAGGAGGTGGAGGTTGCAGTGAGCCGAGATTACATCACTGCACTCCAGCCTGGGCAACAGAGTGACACCCTGTCTCAAAAAATAAAATAAAATAAAGTAAAAAAAATAAAATAAAAAATAAAAAATGATGGCCTTAAAATCTGGTCACTTAAAAAAAAAAAAAGAAAGAAGAAAAAATGCTGGTCTCCTGCTACAGACCTGACCTTCCAGAGCAGGGCCTGGCGCCCCCGACTCAGAACGGGGCTCACTGCTTCCTGGAGTGAGTAAAAGGGACCAGTGTTCCCAACGACGCTGCGGGCAGGGTTGATCCAAGGTGAGCTGGCAGGGCTCTGTGGGACCGCCACTCTGTGCCTGGCTCCACTTGCTCTGCCTCAAAGCTCCCTGCCGTGAGCCTGAGGCCCCCCCGGGGCTGGCCTGAGTCTGGGATTCCCAGCAGGGTTTGGTTTCCGAGACAGGAACTTTCTTAGGAGGAAAAGGAAGGGCCACACATTTGATGGGCAGGCAGATGGGAATTCCAGGAAGAACTGGCCCCTGTCCAGCAGGGGCAGAGCTGGGCTTGGAGCATGAACAGAGGCTGGCTGACCCTGGTGTGCGGCTGTCATGCCGGCCAGCAGGGCTGGGGACAGAGCAGACAGAGGCCTGCAGTGGAGGCCTGGACTGGAAGCTTCAGCAGGGATCCTGCTGGCCAGAGACGCTGTGGTTCCCCAGCTTGGAATCTGAGGTCCATTTGTCCTGGTCCAGCTTCCTACCACTTGCTCCAGCCACAACTCACTATGCCCACATGCCTGAATGGTCAACTTGTTTTACAACTCCAGGCCTTTATTCACAGAGCTTGAACCTCCAGAAGTGCCCGTTCCAGGGTCCTGGCCACCCAGTGAACACGTAGGTAGCCCAAGCTTTTCCTCCAGGGCTTACCCCACTGAAATTTCTTTTTTTTTCTTTTTGAGACAGAGTCTCACTCTGTCACCCAGTCTGAAGTGCAGTGGTACGATCTCAGCTCACTACAACCTCCACCTCTCTGGTTCAAGGGATTCTCCTGCCTCAGCCTCCCGAGTAGCTGGGACTACAGGTGCCTGCCACCATGCCTGGCTAATTTTTGTATTTTCAGTAGAGATGGGGTTTCACCATGTTGGCCAGGCTGGTCTCGAACTCCTGACCTCAAGTGATCCACCCGCCTCAGCCTCCCAAAGTGCTGGGATTACAGGCGTGAGTCACCGAGCCCGACTGACCCCACTAAGATTTGCAAGCATCCTGAAAATACCAGGTTTCCCAGTGGCTTCCCTAATGGCAGGGGGCTGGCCTCGTTGCTCCTTGGGTCCCCAGGGCTTGGCCTGGCATAGGGCCATGAGGGGACCTGGGGTTCAGGAGGCTCTTCCTGCAGGGGTGAGGAGGCAGGAAGCCAGAGACCTGACTCACTGGGGCTGGCACCTCAAAGGTTGTGTGAGAGGGAAATCTAAGGTGCCAGGCAGGCAATGGCCCCTGAGCCTGCAGGCCCCGAGCTCCTGATGGCTCCAAGGGTGCATCCAGGCCTCTCGGAGGCAAGAGAACTGGACCGTGGGTGGGTGCAGAGGCAGTGGGGGTATCATTCGGGGCATCCCAGGGGCTCACTCACCCTGGGAGCCTGTCTCCTGGGACCAGACACATTTGGGAAACTCAACCAAGCTCTTAACATGGTAGGAGCTGCCGTCCCATGGGAACGACTCCTGAATACCCACAAATGCCCCCACCTTGGCATGACACAAAGGAGGGGAAGGGCCCAGTGACCCCACAGGAACGCTGCCCTCTGCCAAAAGCAAAATTAGTGGGCTCTGCTGGGGCTAAGGAGGTGGTGGTGGGGGCACCAGCTGCTGCTTCCCCTCCCCCGACGGCAGCAGACACTGCTATTTACAGAAGGGCAGCTGTGACTGTCACTCAGGCCCAAGGTGCTGGAGCCCTGGGCCTCTGTCCCTGCCCTCTGGGTGACCCTGGGTAAGCCCCACCCCACCCGTCACTGGGCCTCGGTCTCCCTTTCTGACAAGGAGTGGAGTCGGGCTTAGGGGTCTAGGATTTCTCCCAGGAAATTAAAGGCAGGGGCCTGGGCAGGAAAAAAGCCCTAGGGAAGTGTAGGGGTGTTAGGACCTGGGGAAAGAGCTCTTCAGACAGTAGCTGTGTCCCCAGGACGTCACTTCTCCAGGGCCCATGTCGCTCATGGGCACTGAGCTTTGGGGAGTCCATACCCCTGCACCTCCAGGCACCCAGATTCTCCCAGCAGACTGAGAGATGGAGAGAGAGCCAAGAAGCTGTGGGTGACTCAGAGAGCACCCAGGGGTGGAGTGGGCCCTGATGCAGGAGGCGGGTGGGGGCCCCTGGTGTTGCTGTCCGCTGCTGCACCAGCAAAGCCTCCCCCTGCCCCAACTTCCCAGTGCCCAAGGACCTCCACTGCCACGTTCCTTTCATTCTTGGGACCACCAGGGTGGGGGGTATCATTAGCCCAGTTTTTTTTTTTTTTTTTTTTTTTTTTTTTTTTTGAGACAGAGTTTCGCTTTTGTTGCCCAGGCTGGAGTGCAATGGCATGATCTCAGCTCACTGCAACCTCCGCCTCCCGGGTTCAAGTGACTCTCCTGCCTCAGCCTCCCAAGTAGCTGGGATTACAGGCATGTAATCCTATATTTTTAGTAGAGACAGGGTTTCTCCATGTTGGCCAGGCTGGTCACGAACTCCCGACCTCAGGTGATCTGCCTGCCTCGGCCTCCCAAAGTGCTGGGATTACAGGTGTGAGCCACCGTGCTCGGCCCCCAGTTGTATTGTTTTGTTTTTTTGAGATAGGGTCTCACTCTGTTGCCTAGCTTGGAGGGCAGTGGTGTGGTCTTGGCTCACTGCAACCTCTGCCTCTTGGGTTCAAGCGATGCTCCTGCCTCAGCCTCCCAAGTAGCTCGGACTACAGGTGCACGCCACCATGCCCCACCATGTTAGCCAAGCTCTGGCACCTGCCATCTGGGTGACACTGGGAAGGCCACACTCCCTCTCTGAACATCCGTCTGCGCTCTCTTCTGTAATCTGGGGACCATGTGCTCACCTTGCCGGGGTGGGGTACCTAGATGACAGCATGTCTGTACAGATGCCCACCAGGCTGGGGTCTGGACACACTGTGGGCTCTCAGAGGCTGGGCACTATTGTTACAACTATTCCCACTCTCCAAAGCAGGGGGGCCACCTTGGAGAAGACGTGACACTACTGCCAGGGACCTGACGGCCAGCCCTTAAGAGGGGAAGGGTCAGCACATGCCAGTGAGCAACAATGTTGGTGACAGCTAGAAAGAAACCTGGCATCTCCCTGGCCAGAAAAGGACCCCCTGGGCAGGCGCTGGGCTGGAGCCTGGCAGCTGAGCTGGGGAAGAGCAAAGCCCTATGGAGTCAGACACAGACCTCCCAGGGAGCCCTCTGTGAATGTGCTCGGTCACTCCTGCCCTCGTCCCTGCAGGCCTTGGCTCTGGGAGGTGCCAGGCACCCTCGGGCTGCAGGAGAGGAGGGCAGGTAGCCGGGCTCTTGAACAACATCAAGAACGGTGCCCTGGGCCGGGCACAGTGGCTCATGCTTGTAATCCCAGCACTTTGGGAGGCCAAGGTGGGGGAGGATCTCTTGAGCTCAGAAGTTCCAGACCAGTTGAGCAACATAGATCCTGTCTTTAAGAAAAATAAAAAAAACATGAGCTAGGAGTGGTGGTGTGTGTGGTCCCAGCTACACGGGATGCTAACAGAGGACTGCTTGAGCCTGGGAGGTGGAGGCTGCAGTGAGCCATGATTGCACCACTGCATTCCAGCCTGGGTGACAGCCCCTGTCTCAAAACAAAAAAGAAAGAAAGGCCGGACATGGTGGCTCACGCCTGTAATCCCAACACTTTGGGAGGCTGAGGCAAGAAGATCACTTGAGGTAAGGAGTTCGAGACCAGACTGGCCAACATGGCAAAACCCCGTCTCTACTAAAAATACAAAAATTAGCCGGGCATCGTGGTGGGTGCCTGTAAATCCCAACTACTCCGGAGGCTGAGGCAGGAGAATCCCTTGAGTCCGGGAGGCAGAGTTTGCAGTGAGCCGAGATCGTAACACTGCACTCCAGCCTGGGCGACAAAGGGACGGACACACACACACACACACACACACACACACACACAGAAAAAGAAGAAAGAAAAGAAAAAACCAGTGCCCCAGAACCCTTTGGTGTAGCCAGAGGGCCCTTCCTGGCAAAGGAAGAACCAGGGTTGAAGCGGTGACTTGTCCAAGAGGCATGACAGGCCCACCTCCCAGGGTCCTGGCACTAAATACTCCACCCTGTCAACCAGATTAGACCACGTGGTCCCCAAAGGCAGTGTCCCTGGCACCCTCAGCTGCTGCCCAGGCGCCTCCTCTGGGCCCCCCAGGAGGTGGGAGTTATGGGGTAACTCACCTTGGGTGGCACAAAGAACTCCAGGCGGAAGCGTTCCTCGGCCACAGCCCTGCGCAGGAGCAGGCGGCACTTCTGCCACTGCGCTGAGCCCCCGGAGCCCGCGGCCGCGTCGTCGGCCACCATGAAGCGCAGGGCCCCCTCACGCTGAATGTCCACCAGCTCCACCTTGGCCGCCAGCGTCCGCGACAGCCTCAGGCGCCGCGTCCACTTGTCGCGGGGCTCAGCCGAGGGCTCGGCGGCGCGCAGGGAAGCTCCTGCCTCGGGCTCGGGAGAGGAGCGCCGATGCCACATGTCGCGCACGCCGTCCACCACGCACAGGCTCATGTTGCGCAGCGAGAAGCCCTTGCGGACGCGGGCCTTCGTGGCAGCATGCGTGGACACGTCCTCCGAGCTCCGCGAGTGGCCGTAGGGCGCTGCCTTGAGTGCAGAGGTGTCCGTGGGCTCCGGCTCCATGGCCTCCGCGCGCACGGCCGCGCCCCGAGTCGTTGGTCCGGCCACCAGCACGCGGCGCACCTCCTCCCCGAAGACGTCCAGGAAGTTGGCGGCGAAATGGCGGGAGAAGGAGGCGCCAGCGTCGGGAGTGTCGTAGGCTGGGTTGTCCCGCAGGAAGCGGCAGAACTTGTGCGCAAAGTCCACGGCGGCCGCCTGCGCGTGCAGCTCGCAAAACTGCCGCCAGTCCGGGACCGGGACCGGGACCGGGGCGGCTGTGGCGGGGCCGGGGGCGGCACCATTCATGGCTTCCGTCCCATTGCAGCCACCTGCGGCTGCGGGCGAGAAGAGCGCGCAGTTACTTTCAGGCCTGTGACCAGTGTGCCCACCTGTCCCCTCCTTCCAGCTCCCCTAGGACTCTCTGGGGCTGTATGTGTGTACATGCACACGTGTGTGTTGTGGGACTACAGCAGGCAGACCTTCCAAGCAGCATGGATGCGTGTAACAGAAAGACAACTGGGGCAGGGGGCGGTGGCTCACGCCTATAATCCCAGCACTTTGGGAGGCCGAGGTAGGCGGATCATCGAGAACAGCCTGGCTAACATGGTGAAACCCCGTCTCTCCTAAAAATACAAATATTAGCCGGCTAGCCGGGTGTGGTGGTGCACGCCTTAACCCCAGCCATCGAAAGGCTGAGGCGAGGCAGGAGATTGCTTGAGCCCAAGAGGCGGAGGCTGTAGTAAAAATACAAAAATTAGCCGGGCGTGGTCGCACACGCCTATAGTCCTAGCCACTCCAGAGGCTGAGGCAGGAAAATCACTTGAACCCATGAGGCAGAAGTTGCAGTGAGCCGAGATTGCCCCACTGCACTCCTGCCTAGGCGACAGAGTGAGACTGTGCAAAAAAAAAAAAAAAAAAAAAAAAGAGAAAGACAACTGGGGAAGCAGAGGTGGTGTCTGCAGAAGGGGCAGCCCTGTATTCATTCTCTCCCCAAACAATAGTCTCAGGGAACCTCAGGGTCATTCCTGGGGCTGGCAGAAGAGCCTGGGATGACAGATGCTTTCAAGTGGGGTCCCCATGAGCCTCTGGTGGCCTCACTTCCTCAGTGACCTCTTCTGAGGTCCCCCAAAGCCGGGTAGAAACGAAGAAGTCACATGAAATCCTGCTGGCTGGACCTTTGAAATATACCTAGGACTCAGCTCCTTCCTCCCGGTCCAGGCTGCTGTCCTGGGATTCACATAACTATTTTTCTTGCATGCAGCATTCCAGCAGCTGCTTCATGGTCTCCGGGATCCTGATCTCACTTCCTCTAAAGTCTGTTCTCCTCCCAGGAGCCCAGTCATTTCCAAAACTCAAGACTGCTGTGTGTGGTGGCGCATGCCTGTAATCCCAGCATCTTGAGAGGCCAAGGCAGGTGGATCACGAGGTCAAGAGATTGAGACCATTCTGGCCAACATTATGAAACCTCGTCTCTACTAAAAATACAAAAATTAGCTGGGCGTGGTGGCGCATGCCTGTAGTCCCAGCCGTCTGAGAGGTTGAGGCACGAGAATTGCTTGAACCCAGGAGGTGGAGGTTGCAGTGAGCTGAGATCCCACCACTGCTCTCCAGTCTAGGTGACAGAGCCAGATTCCATCTCAAAAACAAAACAAAAAAAAAAAAAAGAAAAAGAAAAAAGAAAAAAGGCCGGGCGCGGTGGCTCATGCCTGTAATCCCAGCACTTTGGGAGGCTGAGGTGGGCGGATCCCGAGGTCAGGAGATCGAGACCATCCTGGCTAACACGGTGAAACCCCGTCTCTACTAAAAATACAAATAATTAGCCGGGTGTGGTGGTGGGTGCCTGTAGTCTCAGCTACTCGGGAGGCTGAAGCAGGAGAATGGCATGAACCCAGGAGGCGGAGCTTGCAGTGAGCCGAGATGGTGCCACTGCACTCCAGCCTGGGTGACGGAGCAAGACTCCATCTAAAAAAAAAAAAAAAAAAAAAAAAAAAGAAGAAAAAAATAAAAAGTAATAACAAAACAATTGTCTTGGCCAGGCACATTGGCTTACACATTGGCCTGTAATTCCAGCACTTTGGGAGGCCGAGGTGATCAGACTACTTGAGCTCAGGAGCTCAAGACTAGCATGGGCAACATGGCAAAACCCTGTCTTTACAAAAAACATACAAAAAATTAGCTGGGCATGGTGGTGCACACCTGTAGTCCCAGCTACTCAGGAGGATCACCTGAGCCTGGGAGGTTAAGGCCACCGTGAGTTGTGATGGTGCCACTGTACTCCAGCCTGGGGACAGAGCAAGACCCTGTCTCAAAAAAATAAACAAAAAAAAGTTGATCTGAATGTGGTGGCATGCCTGAATGTGGAGGTAGCCCTCCTCAGGAGGATTACCTTAGCCTGGGAGGTTGAGGCTACAGTGAGCCGTGATGGCACCACTATACTTCAGCCTGGACAACAGAGCAAGACTCTATCTCAAAAACAAGACCAATCTGGATGTGGCGGCATGCCTACAGTTCTAGATACTAAGGAGACTGAGGTGGGAGAATCGCTTGAGCCCAGGAGTTGGAGGCTGGAGTGAGCTATGATCGTGACACTGCACTCCAGCTGGTGATAGAAACTCTGACTCAAAAACAAAACAAAACAAAAACAAAAACCCAAAACCAAAACACAAGACAGATCAAGTCCCTCCTCTGCACAAAATCCTGCAGTGGTTCCTACTACAGTCAGAGTAAAAGCCGAGGCCGGGCGCGGTGGCTCAGGCCTGTAATCCCAGCACTTTGGGAGGCCGAGATGGGCGGATCACAAGGTCAGGTGATCGAGGCCATCCTGGCTAACATGGTGAAACCCCATCTCTACTAAAAATACAAGAATTAGCCGGGCGCGGTGGTGGGCGCCTCTAGTCCCAGCTACACGGGAGGCTGAGGCAGGAGAATGGCGTGAACCTGGGAGGCGGAGCTTGCAGTGAGTGGCGATCACGCCACTGTGCTCCAGCCTGGGCAACACAGCCAGACTCCGTCTCAAAACAAACAAACAAACAAACAAAAACAACAAAACAGAGTAAAAGCCTGAACCTGGGAGGCGGAGCTTGCAGTGAGTGGAGATCATGCCACTGAGCTCCAGCCTGGGCGACACAGCCAGACTCCGTCTCAAACAAACAAACAAACAAAAACAACAAAACAGAGTAAAAGCCGAAGCCCGAGGCCCTATCCACAGCCCCTAGGGCCTGACATAATCTGCCTCCGTTTATCCCTCTGGACATACCTCCTGCCACTCTTCCCTGGCTGCACCTGCCTCCTCGCCCTCCCAGAACCATAGCAGCCAAATTCCTACCTCAGGACCTTTGCACGTGCCTGGAGTGCTCTTTCCTCCACATTCCCTCACCTGTGCAACCATAGGCTTGGCCGATAGCCTTCCCTGACCACTCTTGAGAATGACAAATCCGTCTCATGACAATACTCCCTCTGATGCGTTCCATGCACTCTGCCTATTTTCACCATTATCCTTACTGCTGGCTGACATAGTATAGATTTAGTTGCTTGGTCGTGTGTTCCCCTCCACCCCCTTCCCCTTCCCCCGAGAACGCCAGTTTCACAAGGCAGGGATTTTGCCAGACCTAGAAGCGGCTGTGTCCTCAGTGCTGGGCATACGGCAGGCGCTTGGGAAACACTGACCAGAATGAACAAATGAATGTATTCGGCGCACCAGGCATGTCACAGCTGTCACCGCCTAAGCCCTCACATGGGGCCTGACGACAAACAGCTTGTTAGTGACAAGACAGGTCCAGGGTGCTTGCCCAGGTCTGCAGTGACTCCAAGACTTGAGGGGTCTCCTCCTACTGTGGATCAAATATGGTAGTTCCCTCTTGTCCAAGGGGTGTATGTCCCAACACCCCTAGCAGATGCTTGAAACTGGTTAATACTGAACCTCTGTACACTGTATTTGTGTGTGTGTGTGTGTGTTTAGAGACGGGATCTCACTCTTCTGATGAGGCTGGTCTTGAACTCCTGGGTTCAAGCAATCCTCTGGCCTTGGCCTCCCAAAGTGCTGAAATTACAGGCATGAGCCACTTGCACCTGGCCCACTACGTTTTTTTGGATCTAATAACCCAGATAGCTCCTAAGTGGTGAGCGGGTCATATCCAAAGCGCGGATATGCCGGACAAAGGGATAATTCACATCCCAGGCAGAACAGCGGGATGGCTTGAGATTTCATCCTGCTACTCAGAATGGCCTGCAATTTACATTTTTATTTGTATGTTTACTTCCGGGATTTTCTATTTAATATTTTCAAACCTCTGTTGACCATGGGCATCTGAAAGCAAAGCTGTGGATAAGAACCCAGGTTTTTTTTTTTTTTCAGACAGAGTCTCGCAGTGTCTCCCAGGCTGGAGTGCAGTGGCAAGATCATAGTTCACTGCAGCCTCCAACTCCTGGGCTCAAGCGATCCTCCCACCTCAGCCTTACGAGTAGCTCAGACTACAGGCAAGAGCTACCATGCCTGGCTAAAGGGACCAAGTTTTTGAACTGACATTGAAGACCCTGCTTCTTTCCATCACAATGGCTTGCACGCTTCTACTTACATTCCCATGTTCTGGAATCTGGTTTCCCCCAGAATTCCCATTCAAATCCGATTTTGAAGATGCCCCAATCCAGGAATCCCAGCGGTCTCCTCACCCCAGCGTCATTCTCTTATTCCCAGGCCCCTCTGTCCTTCACAGCTCTGGATGGCTAAACTGTGTGGCTTGGACCCACCTCATCACCTGGGGGCCTTGCCATTGCTCCTGGGGGCGCAGGTCCAACCTGCTGTGTGCGTACAGCCCCCATCCAACCCAGGGGGAAAATTCCCAATAATGATGAAGTGGGGTGATGTAGTGCCCTGGGGAGTCCCTGTCTGAGGAGCCAGCCCAGTATTGGGGGACAAGCGCCCATCCTTCCGAGGAACTGAGTTAGAGGTTCATGCCCTCGCCTGTCCTCCCAAGATCCCCACAGTTCCCGGAATGCCCCTCCCTCGCAGCTCCTGGGATCACCATCTCATCTCTCCTCTGGGATCCAAACCCTGTAATTAAATGCCAGGTAAAAATAGCTGCCCCACTTCTGCGAGATCATCTGTGAGGCCTCTGGGCCATAGGGCACCGTGGGAATTCCCTCTCTCCTTGGGGCAACCTCGCCATCAATCTGCAGTCAATAACCAAGGGACAGCCCCAGGGACAGAACAGGGCTCCCGGTTGAGCCTGCTTAGCTTCAAGGACGGGTTTCCAAACCAGTGGTCTCCTAGGAGACTCCTGCCTTGGTACTGGGGGAGGGGAGTAGGGAGTTTGGAAGGTTTCCTTCAAGAGGTGGT